CGCGCGAAAATTCTACTATTATGCTGCAAAATGTGTGCGCTATGAGGGGTGCCAGTGATACTACAGAAGGTCAGCGGATTTATTGGAGGAAGGGGACCTCGACGGCAAACTCTACTTGGAGGGTCATGGGGACTTAGTAAGTAGGTTACAACCCCCCTATAGCGTATTGCCTATAACCCACATAATATCCCCAGGTATCCCCCTTATTATCCTACTTACTCAATCCCCATGACCCTCCAAGTAGACCCAGCTCAGGGCTTCAGGTGTATTTACTGTTTAGGGTTTAGGGTTTGGAGGTATACTATAATCTTGCTGCAATTAATATGTCGGTGGGGCTTTGTAGGCTTGGGGTAACATCCAAAGAGATGATTAGCCGAACCTATGCAGATTCTGTACATTGGCTACTCCGCACCATATCCCTGTAGATAACAAGATGCCTTTTCTATACAGCCCCCAAAACAGGCCAATTGCTTGCAAGCTAGCCCCAATTAGTCTTTGTAACCCCAGTTTATTACAGCTTATTAGTCATTACCCCTAGTTAATGAGTGGAACCCATAAAGCTGCAGGTACTTGGGGTTGCAGGTAGACAAAGCATCCGGAGGACGTCAGCTGCGGGCCTGTGCAGACCCCGCACCCGTGATGAACGGAACCTCCTGAGCAAAGATAGGAGTTTCGTCCCTTTTTGGGTCTGTATTGGCGTCCCCTGTATATAGAAACGGCTAAATTGCTGGAACAATCATGTTGGGGCAAATTCTCCTGCGGTGGAAATGTAAAAGCAGTGCGAAAGAGTGAGTTGTCCCTTGTTAAGTTGCTGGGTCCCGGTCTCAATCCTCATTTGGCAGCGTGCTGTCAAAGAGTATGCGAGACCTAGTATGAGACACTGCCTGTAAGTCCTTGGAACTTCTCGGCGCAATACGACACTAGACTCGTGTCATTCTGGGGCAGAGAGGCTGTCTGAGCATCAACTGTTGGAGAAGGTGCTCCGTGAGTAGGCTTACGTAGGAAAGTGCTTTCCTCACCCTCCTGGCGTTCTTAGATTTCTAGAAGACGTGTTTTTCCAACCCCAGAGGCCCTAAAGGGTCCCTACTGTGCCTAAACGCAAAGTGTCCCTAGAGGGTCTGACCGTGGAGTGTCTTTTCAGGGAACAAACTCCACTGTCCCAGTGCCCAATGCCGGAAAGCCCAAACTTAGAGTTCAGAGTGCCCCCTGTGTGCCTGACCGAGCATATCTGCGGAGTGTTGTGTGGCTCCACTGCAGTGTGTCCCTACAGTGTCCAAAACCAGCATTCTCAAGCCAAAGAGCAGCAAAGGGCAGTCTAAGCCAGATGTGAGGGTGAGGACGCTCGAGTTAAAGTAAATCTGACTTTTTGCAGCACCCGGTTGCTCAGATCTTGTTTACAACTGTTCCTGGCATGCTTCATGTGACATTCATGTGCTGCTTCTCCCTTAAAGTACCCAACAAGTTGGCAGATTGATGAACACCCGGGTTATGGGCTTTTCTAGGGCTTCCAGCCCACGAAGGGCCAAGGTCGCATGATGACACCCATGACCGAACCTTACCAAAGACCCTTGGAGCCCCTCCTCGGTTGCATCCTTCTTTTTGCCATCGCTGTTGGCAGGGCCCTGTGGATGCAAGGGATGCAAGGGCTCCGTGCGTGGATGAGACCTGCAATTCCCAACAAGGTTCTGTTCATCCTGTGGGCGAGCTGTGCGGGCTTAGGGTTTAGGGTTGGTTTAGGCCTTTAGGGTTTAGGGTTTAGGGGTTTAGGCCTTAGGATTTCTGAAAGGGAGGGTGAGATTTGATGCTTCTCAAGCGTGCAGCTGTGGTGCTTCCGAAGTACGCGGCCTCTCATTCTTGCAAGGATATCCAAGACCACAGTAAGCTTCTGAAAGCAAATCACCCTTTGGCACCCTGGAGTCACGGGGAGTACGGGGTCCCACTAAAGGCTAGGCTAAGATGCTGTTGACACTGAATTTTTGCGTAAACCTGATATACTAGAATACCATAACTCCCAAAGCATAAGGTACTTCGGGGCATAAAGGACTGTGAGTTCTTGTCTATAGTATCAACCATAGAGGGTACTGCGAGCAACCAGCAGTGACTCAGCAGTGCACCAGGCTGGCTTCCACCTTTTCAGACTTTTTCTTTGGAGCCTTGCAAAAGTCAACGTGCTTAGTTTTAGGTGCAGGTACCGCGAGGGTTCCCAGGGATATATCATGGTTTAGGGGATGACGGGGGTTCCGTGGTTAAGATCCAAGGTTTAGGGTTCAGGTTTGGGTTTGGGTTGAGGGTTAGCTTCTTGGAGGTTTAATCTGAGACACTTCCTGGTGGCACTACACGCAGAAACAACTGAGGGGAGCCTGTGGGGTTGTTGAACCACGCGAGATTACATTCTTCTTGAAAGTGCGACAACCGCATGGATCACATGGTCTTGCAGTATATTGGGGACGATATTGCACCTAATACGGTGTCACCCGTATGACTTGATCAAGATTTCCTGTAAAGTCCTTGCACCCTCTTTAAAATCCAGATATCCCCAGCGTTTACGAGGCTCCTGTTTTGAGAAAACCTTCCACATGGTCTCGAAGCTAGTACAAGATCACGAAACACTTTATGGGATGTTTCTCAACATTAGGGGTACTTTTCTTGGAGGTCGTCAAAATAGGACTATAACATTTTGGGGTCCAGATTGGGGTCCGCCTATTTAGGGACACAACCTTAATGTTATCTAGAAGGCTGACTCTCGAAAAGCTATGTCCTGTTAGCTGCTGAGAACTTGGGTTTTTCAAATCGGCAACCATCTCTTTTTACATCTTTTCAGTCAACCCTAAAGCCTAGCTAGCCCTAACCCAAGCCAACATCCTAAACCCTAAACCTCAAATCCGAACCCTCAAGCCCTATATGGTAGCTTCCCAAAATACGGCATATAGACCCCAAAATGCTATACGCCTTACTATAGGGACCCCCCCACAAAAAAAGGTACCCATAATTTTGCGCAACAACCCCTATATCTAGCTGAGAACATGGCGAGGCCTTGGCCCCAAGGAAGCCCTTCTTCAGGCCGCCTCCGAAGCCCTGATCCACTTTCTTGCGGGCCTTGAGCCGGGAGTTGTTCCAGGGCTTTTGGTTCCGGGAGGGGTGGTAGGATTTAGGGTTTAAGGTTTTTAGGGTTTAGGGTTACTAGGGACTGGGGATAAAGGATTTTTTTTGTTTTTTTTCTTCCAGGATTGAGCTTTGAATTAGGTAGCCAGAGCAGGAGAGAGGCAGAGGCATGTTCTACACAGGGGTTACATGTGGGCTGTAAGGGGGGTAGATCTGCAAATCCCTCCTGTTTTGCACCCTTTGGCTTCAATTCACTTCCTACCATGCAACAGCTGCAAAAGCGACTTAGGCTGATGAGGATGATGGGTAGGGATACAGATTACCAAGGAACCGGGGACATCTAATTACACTTCAGCCTCAAGCTAAAGCAGACAAGCAAGCACATTGAAACATGCTTCTGCTGACGGATGAAGCCTAAACGCACTTATGTACATCAGCCCTTGAGGGGAAGCAGTTGAAGGCAAACTCAGCAGTTTGGCTATGGTGTAGTCCGTGATAGACGGCCAACCCTGCCCAAAGCTAAACATGTTGCCATATGCTCTTCGACATTCTGTAACTTCCACATCCTCCACTGCTAGGCTATGACGAAAAAACACACTTATTTTTCCTTCGGTATCTTGTTTGTCCCTTGCCCTGTTCTTCAAGTAGCTGTTTCCATCAGCACGAAAACTCTGAGCTGCGGTTTCTCGGACATATATTCCAGTCAAAATAGGGGTCCTTTTAATCTTATGCTCTCACCCAAACAACACCATCATGCCAAAGGGAAGATGCGGGATGTTTCTCAAAATCCTCATGTAAGGCATGACCTAGGTTGGCGGCCCCCAAAGCAAACGAGCCACACATGCACCACCAATGTTCTCGGAAAAACACCCACATACACAAACCAATGCCTGCTTGAAAATCCTGAGTTGAAGTCCTAAAGCCTTGAAATCGAATACTCGTATAGCCTCATAGACCCGAAGCCCCTGAACGCATGACTCCTAGTTCCTGAACCCTGAACACTAGTTAATGTAACATAACCGTATTGCCAAACCCAAAGGACCGAGGCAAAGGGTACCTGCGGTTTAGGAATCCGATTTCGGTTTTGGGATTTGGGGGCTCAACCCCACAATATAGGGGCCTAAATAATTACGAATATAACTTTGAGGTCTATTTGAGGTACTCTATACTCTAATTATACAAGGAATAGGGAACCATAATATTGGTAATTATTTAGGCCCCTATACCCTAAACCCTTAAGCCTTGATTTAGGGGTTTCGGGTCTACGGCCTCCTCAGTATCCTTCTTCTTCTGCTCCCTGGCGGCCAGCGCCTGTTGATTTGTGTTAGAGGGCTTTGGGTTTAGGGTTTAGGGGCTTAGGGTTTAAGGGTTTTCAGGTTAAGGATTTAAGTTCAGGGATGTTTAGGGGTTGGTGTGTTTAGGGTTTGTGGGTTTATGTTGAAGATATCTCGGGAAATCCTAACACCTAAATCCTAAACCCCCAAACCCTAAACCCATGGCAGGGATTCTGCGGTTCCTGTGATCTCCCGGTGTGCCGCGTGCTTTCTTGCGTGCTGGATCTACCAGGTTTCTACCCGCTTTTGAAACATTCCCTTTAGGTGGACCCCCCACCCAGTACTATTCTACCACTGTTACAGGGTGGGTCCTCCTAACATTCCCTACTTAACACCTGGGAATCTGTTGAATGCCAACTGCACAAGACCCTTAATTATTTGAAGTAACAATTCTCAAAACAGATTAGGGATCCTCGTGCCATTCAGGATAGATTCCTCCAGTAAGATGTCTTGGGCTCCCTAGGTCCATGAGCCCATCCCAGTCAACTCAGCTGTAAGCTCTGAAGGCTAGATGTCCCGGAGCCCTGAATAGTAGCTTTCATTTGCCTGATGATAAAGCTGTTGCTTCTCCACGCCCCGGTTCTTACAGTAGAGATGCAGATCTAAGGTCGCGGACGGTGCCTTCTCCATTAGCGCCTCAGCAACCTCATTCTTTTCCTGCACTTCCTCCACGTCGCGGCCGCCCTGCGAAGGCAACAGGACAAAGGCCCAGCTGTGTAAATTGCGTAGATACTTCCACACTTCGCAGTGTACTTCTAGCCGCGTATCCAGACCCCGGTAGAGGCGCTGGAGCAATCCTACAGAAACCCGAAGACCCCCTGCCTGAGGCTGCTTCTCCGCTGGTGCTGCAGGAGCGCGTCTTCGGGTGGCCTCAATGGTTGGTCAGCTGATCCTTATTCAAACTCACAGGGCGACGATTTGCAGAATCTCCAGTATGGCAAATCATTAAGCATAGTTGTCGCTGTTTCAAGCTCCCTTTGAACTACACCCCTAGAATTTGAAATGCCCACGGATCTGCATAATCTGGCTTCTTCTGCGAAATTAGGGGCTAACCGCCTTTCAGTTTAAAAGGGCAGCAATGCTATAGAGTATGCACATCGCCATTAGCGGGGTTTCTCAAAACAGGGGTGCCTTGAAATTACGTAAGCTTTCTGGGTGTCCCTATCAAGGGTTCTATTTTGGTAACCTTCATAAAACCCTGGATCAACTCGATGAAGTCCTACACTTTGATGCCCTGGCCTCTAGTGGGGGCGGAAGGTCGTCCTCATCAGACACGGCCATCTCTGCAACTCTGGATGTCTTTTTGAATGTATTGAAGGAAGACGCTGTAAAGGGCTGAGTGCTTCTTAGGAGTAGAGTACATGGTACCAGTGGAAGTAATATCTACAGCTGAAGGGCTCTGTTGCGTGTACCTAGCATGCGTGAGGAAGTCAACTTTTGTCAAATTGCTTCTGTCTTGGCAGGGACCGCCTCTACTGTATTATAATTTACTATACTATGCTTGTGGAGGCAGCTTGTCATGTTGACCGCTGCTGGTCTGCCAGTTGGGACAGTTCATCATGGCCAGGATGTGCCCCCGAATAGGGTGTAGGTCAGGTACTTAGTGTGCAGCCAACAAAGGCAGATTAAGCCAAAGAAGCAGCGGTCGCAGGCTCTTCTGCAGTAAGATTTGCCGAAAGTTCGTGCAATGTGCGCGGATTTCTCTCACATATTACAAATGCATGTACTAATCACTACAACGGGGTCTTCACACCGAAGCCCCTGCATTGAACGCTGTGCTGATTGGGTTGCAAAGTCCTCAGAAGGCTACCACATTTACACCTGGCGTAGGCCAATGGAAGGGAGAAATCCATCTAAAGATGTGAATCATGTTATAATAGCCCTTGGCATCACCTTTCGAAGATACTCCTGGGCTCCTTGGAGCTGCCAATGTTGATCAGAGCTCGGGTGGCATGTGTGAATGTTTTCAGCCTCCATAGCAAGGTCGAAATCGATGCGCAGCCAGGATATTGCGCTCCACCACGGCGTGTGCCACGAGAGCATTGATTTGTGATGGGTCCTATAATGGCTAATCAAATATCAGTGGTTGGCCATAGACTGTGCTATAAAGTGTTGCCAGTCTTTACCGTTATCGTTGCAACAGTAGTTTGGGCTCATCATCAAAGCGGATGCCCAAGCGGCGATCTCATTAACAGGCATGCTTCCTTCCGGCATCTCTCGTCTGGCAGGATACAGTAAGTTACAAACCCTTCCTTACTACAAAACTGTTTTGCTGAGGCTGTGAGATATGCCGGGGAGCCTCCTACATGCTCGTTAACGCTGTAGCTCAGAGGCTCTAAGCCTCTGAGCTGAGGGGTATTCCTACCGGTGCTTAAGAGGGAGTGGGGGAATGAATATAGGGATTGTTCTAGGGGTATACATGGGGACTATATCAGGATACTTATGAGGATCCACTCCCTAAACCCTAAACTCAAACCCTAAATCCTAAACCCTAAACCCTGAACCTGAAATCCCGAACCCTGAACCCTCAACCCGAAACCCACTCTCCCTTTGGCACCAGCAAGGTATTTCCATGGTCAGATGGCGGGTCAATGCCAGAATAGGCCGGCCTCAGCTCCCCGAACTGAATCACACGAATTCGGGTTGAGGCTTTAGGGGTTTAGGGTTTAGGGGTTTAGGGTTTAGGGGTTTAGGGTTTAGGGGTTTAGGGTTTAGAGGTTTAGGGTTTGGAGATTCGGCAAAAAGGATTATAGAATTAGGATTATATGGTATAATGGAAAAGAATACCCCTATACAGCCTTTATAACCCTTATATACCCCAAGATATCCCTATATAACCCCTAGGACCCAACTTGTCTCCAGGAAAACTCTGGTGGTAAGGACAGGCTTTCGGAGAGGCTGATGCTTGCGTTGTCTCTGGGTGGGGGGGGGGAGAAGGGGCGGGGAGAGGTTTAGGTTTAGGGGTTTAGGGTTTATGCTACTTGGATGATAGCTTTTGCGGACCCACAATGCGTGCATTTCCGGTCGGTGCCAGTCGAGCAGGCTGCTACCAACTTTCTGCAATCTGTCTTGTGCCGTGGCCTGGTGCAGCTTGTCGTAGATGATAGGAAGCATGGCCGCTGCGTTGTGCTCAACCTGCGCAAAGAATGGTGATGCAAGGAAGCATTGCTTCAACTACTGATACCGTGGGTACATTGGGTTCTGTCAGGTGTTGCTCTTTCAAACTTCGGCTAGGATTGTGGAACTAGACCTCTGCATGTGGACCTCTGAGCAGTTCCCTTTCCTCTGCAACACTTATCACTGCCTAAACCACTGGCGGCCTATCAGAGGTCATTACTGGTTCATACTCCGCAGGGCATTCAGGAATGCTCAAAGACCCTGTTCTACTACTTCTCGGCAAGGCCGAAGATGGGCAAGATATGTGTTCGTACTCTAGGGGCCCAAAGAATCACCAGTATTCTGGTCAAAGTTTCCTGGTATTCATATGTATAGTATAGGGGCCAAATGACTACCGGTGTTCTGGTCCTAGGTTCCTGGTAATGATATCTACGTAGTATACGGTACCTCAAATATCCTCAAAATCTGCTTGAAATCAAGTGGCGCTTGTTCAGGCCGTTATGGAAGTGAACCGCAAGTAGCGAGAAACATGAACTGCAGGAGGGAGGATCTGGAAAGCTGGAAACCCCAAGCACACACCCTTGGTGAACGCTTAGGAACTTGCGGGCTCCTGAACTTCTGAATCTAAACTCGGGGTTTATTCCTTTGTAGGGTTAGGGCTTAGGGTTTACCTTTGCGTTTTGGATCCCAGAGCCTTGGAATGCAATATTTAGGGTTAGGGGTATTTGGAACCCGATGCCCAAAGGTACACATCTTTCGGGTGCACCCGCAAACTTGTCGCCTTTGATAAGCCCTTGACCCAAAACCTGCGTCAGTCATCAGCCCTACGCCCTCCAAGCGAAACTTTGTGGTAAAATGGAGGACTAGACGGGATCCCTATGGAAGCCCCCACAGTATGGAATCCTCTAGATATGAATAGCCCCTAAAACCTGCTGCTTCCTTGACTGCTAATCACTAAGGAGCCGGAACACCAGTTTTTCATACCTTACTGATCACCAGCCCCTACTTGGAGGGTCAAGGGGACTTCGAAAGTAGGTTGATGTCCCCTAGTATTAACCTAAGTATTAGGTGCCCTTGACCCCTCAACCCTAAGTAATATATCATAGTAGCTCCCATTCTCTTTTCCGTTCTCAACCTACTTACTAAGTTCAAAGCGCCTCCGCAGTGATCTCAGCAGCAGCCGATGCATCATCCAGCTCAAGGTGGAGCCGCTCCCGAACCTGTTTGCTTCTGATCAGCAGGGAATGCAAACCACTCATAATGTAATAGTATTTAGGATTTAGGATTTAGGGTTTAGGGTTGTTGGTTTAGGGGTTTAGGGCCATGGGGACTTAGTAAATAGGTTGATAATGGGATAATTGTGGTTCTTATATGGCTTGTGGGGGCTAGTAACCTACTTACCAAGTCCCCATGGCCCGCCAAGTATGGATAGTAGGGAATGGAAAAACATTGAAGCTACTATTTAGGGTGCAAGGTGTTGGTTTTCAAAAAGGAACAGGAAAATGACAACTACCATGTCAGGTAGGGTCCCTGAGCCCTAAACCCTTAGGGTCTGTACATGGCTTGGCATCTCAAGCTGAAGTACTTTTTCCTGGGTCTGTGTCATGTGACGTGTAATTACATTTTCAGCTAGAGGAAAATGCTACTATGACTGCTGCCATCTTGTTCTTTCCATGCTCATGATGTACCACTGGTCGCCTAAACCCTAAACCCTAAACCCATAAGGGTCTGAGAATTCTGAGACCGCGGCAGTATGGATGGCTCTTTCTGCGTCATCTCGCAGCACTGTCACGCCATTCCTCCGCAATCAGAGAGGTGCCCAAATTTGAGTCCCGAGATATATGCGGTTTCCTAGTATTAGCTGTTTTGGGGGGTCAGAATAATGAGGATTCTCGTATTTTTTGGTTTTATATTGGTATCCCCTTATTTTTGGAAACTACCACATCCACAAATGATGGAATCCGGCTTGTAGAGATCCCTCCAGAACAACCCGAAGTGGGTAGGGCCTACAGCCCAGGTTTGAAAGTATTGCCCTAAACCCTAAACCCTAAGGTTTACGGCTCGCTCTGCTCAACAGGTTGCACTACATTTTGGAGGCCTGCATCATTGAATTAGGAAGAGTTGATTTTGCGATGTTTGCTAAAGTAGACAAGGACATGACTGGAAGTCAAACGATCATTAGCAACTTTCTGGCCTCCTCATATTCTAACTATGGGTTAGTATGGAATAAGGAAATATCTTATATATATAGAGATATGTGTATATATCTATGTATATGGGCATCATATTCCCTTTGCTGTGAAGCCACTCTGGGGCTCCCACCCGCCAGCACTGGACGCCAGTGAAAGCAGCGCCGTCCACAAGCGGGCAGTGCGCCGAATGAGCGTGAAGGCCTGCTTTGTCGTTTGGGGTTTAGGGCTTGAAAGGTTGGTTAGGGTTCAGGGTTTAGGGTTCACAGCTTATGGTTCAGGGTCTGGGGTTGAGGGCTTGAATAAGGGGTTATAGCGGGGCATGGAAGAGAAAACGGAAACCACTGTAGTATTCAGGGTTTGGGGCCTACTTTGTGGAACCCTGGGGCTGGTATTCGGTTCTGGCACCTGCCTGTCAAGAGGTCACAATAGGGGTGTGATGGGCTTATTCCTCAGATATGATATGTTACCACATTCGAGGGTTCTACCACACGTCGAAAGCTTTCAAGTTTGATCCTTTTGGGTACGTAGCAATGTCTACACTAAAAGGAAATACATGTATGATAGAGCAGCTAATAATGGAAATGGCAGAAATCACGATGACCTGCAGTCCTCCCTTCCCCTGCTGAGTTCTCGCCGGGGTTCGACAGGCCAGAGAAAGCAGTTTTTTAAATCCCCCAAATACAACGTGCTCAGAGGCATACAACACAGCACTCTGCTAAAAAGTGCTGACATTTCGACAGCTTCCTTCCATTTTTGCAGACATGCATATGATCATATATACATATCATTATCACTATTATTCTTACTTGGAGGGTCATGGGGGCTTAGTAAGTAGGTTAGTAATGCGGATAATTGGGGTTATCATATGGCTTATAGGGGATATTAACCTACGTGCTAAGTCCCCAAATGCACAATGAAATTGAAGCTATCCACCCAAAAGAACTCACGAGGAAACCACCTCCTTGAGAAGTTCGCGGAAACGGTCGTATCTGCCAGATAGCCTGCCATTTCCAACAAGGCACGCGCTGGGAGTGCGGAACTTTCACCCCAACTGAGTTCGTGAGCAGAAAGACTACTGGGCTGCTGTTCAGAGACTTGAATTCAGTATTAATTACACGGAGAATACTTTTTGCGATATGACCATCTAACTAAATTCCTGCACAGCAACTCAGATTAGGTCATCAACATGGAAACACATGTCAGGGGGAGTCATGGTAGATGCGACCCTCAAGTTTCCTACAATATCTCAACCGGTACACGAAGACAGTACACACTAGTCATAGGCCAACCCAAACCAGAACCTTGAAAACTTTGCGGGTAATACTCCCCCTTAAGTAGATAGAATATGCTATGTGTATATTCTAATAAGATCCCCATATACCCCTTATTCTATCTACTTAAGGGGGACTATAAACGGAACAGAACTACAGCTCTGAACAGAATGAGCTTTTTCTCAAAATAAGTTGCAATATGTACTCAGCATTAACATACAGCGCCTCATGAAGCATGGAGAAGCCTCGATGATCGCATGATGCTTCTCTGTACTTCCTATGGCCCAAATGGTGCATGTAGGTATCTAGTATATACCTAGGGCCCAAAAAGCTTCCCATATCACTGCTTGGGGCAGCGAAGTATATACTACATAGCTACCTACATAGCTACATGGACCCTTGGGTAAGTTACCCTCAACCCTGAACCCTAATCCTCAAACCCGAACAAGGGACAATAGTATACCCCCAAAGCTACCCCCCCAGGGTTTAAGGAGCCAATAAGGACTATATAGGGCTTAATAAGGCCTAATAGGGTTCTAAATCTGGCGAGGGGTACCTTGGGGTAGGGGGTACTATTGTAATCCCTTACCAAAGCTGTGCATCACCCTGGAGCCATGGACTTGGATTGCACCTCAAGACTTCCAGGACTTCCCGAGGCACCTTGGGGTTTCGAGCTCATTTCGAGGGACATAAGACTTGGGGGTTTCCTAAAATTAGGGTTACCTTGTTGGGGGTCCCCATAATAAGGATTATAGTTTACAGTGGTCTGGGGTCCCTCTAGTTTGGGCACCTACGATTTCTGGTGTGGTTCGCGAACTCTAGAGAACCTACTTCTCAAGGGCTTATGTTGGGTTATTGGAGGGGAATAACATGGCGATATTCGCTGTCACTATTTTCAGCAAAAGGAGAACAAAATTGCAATCGATGTATGTTCAGGAAGTGTAATGACAGTGTTCCTACAGGTAGGGGCTGAAACACCTAGAATAGGGTTTTGGGACATTTTCAACCTACGCCAAGGTTCCCAGGGGACAACTTTCATAACTGTTCGGGCTTCTACACTAATCGTGTGAGACATGATGGGGTTAAGGGTTTAGGGTATCCCCTAAACCTTAAACCCTAAACCCCTGATCCTGAAGCTTTCTCCACTCCCAAGGACCCCAGACTGACCCTCCTTACGTATATATTGGGGTTATATGGGGATAATGGAAAAGAAACTGGAGGCTACTGTAGTATAACAGGGTATATACGCAAATATCGCAGAAGAAACAGACTGTAAGTAGCTTCGCTGGCTGTCACACAAATCTTAGACTCCCCAGGATAAATTTCTAAGGATGCTGGAATTGCTTCGGGCAAAGTACTGCTTCTGCTACTGAAATTTATGCTTTTCAGTAGTGCGATGTGGTCTGCTTCTTGACCATCCGAACCTCAATCCCTAAACCCTAAACCCACAAACTATCTGCATTGCTGCTGCTATCAATCGCAGACCTTTCCAGGTGCTTTCTCAAAAACCTTCACAATCCTTCCTAAGAACCCAGATACCCCCCTACCTCCTGTACTCAGGACCTGAACCTTAACCATAAACCCTGAGCCCTAAACCCAGGCCCAAAACCCAAAACACTCTCCTGAACGAAGCCCTAAGTCCTAAGACCTGAACCGCACACCCCAAACCCTAAACCTTAAAATATATAACTCCAATATTACCCTATATAACCCCATATACTATAGTAGTTTCCATGTCATTTTCCATTATCCCAATATAACCCCTATGGTAGCCCTCCTCCTCTGCTGGGGCCCCAAACCCTCACCGAGGGTGCACCCGGCTTTGGGTCGTCGCCCAGGACGAAACCGAAGTCGATGTGAAAGAAGTGACCATCCTGCAGCTTGCACAAAGCTCAAGGCCGCTCTAAGACTCTGCCTGTGTATAGATGTATAGATAAACATATGGGTGGTCGTCAAAATTATGGTCCCTTTTTGAGTACCCTAAATATTAGGTGCCGTATTAGAATATGGATCCAAAGAGGGACCATAATTCTGACAACCACCCATATGTAAATATCATGGCACCTTAATGAGGAGATCTTGTAGCGATTTCGTCATGCTAGTAGCTTTCAAAGACAAGGAGCCTTCAAAGAAGCATTTAAGCATGGTTCGCTATGTTGGGACACTGAGACCCCAGCCTTTGCAAAAAACACACTGCGGAAGTCATCTAAGGCGTGGACGAAAACCGTCTGTGGAGTGTTTCGGCCTTTATATGGTACTAAGGACCCTTCAGCCGTCCAAAAACACATGGGGATTAGGAGGAACTTAGAAGAGCACCACTTAGGGATTCTTGTAGGATTCTCTCGAGACACTTTGTGGCTTGGGGGGCAGACCATAGCCTTGTCTTTTGAGCGCTGTTCTCATGTCCGGGCTCGAAAGTTCTCCGTCAGCCAATAGGATTTACGTAGGGTTTAGGGTTTCCAGCGTCTTTAACGTCTCAAGCTCATGACCTGCGTGCTTAGCAGGCCTCCGTCATCATGATGTTGTCCAGATGACGATCTCCAACTCCTAGAAGATAGGTGGCCACACAGTACCTGCATAGTAGAGTCTGTGGTCTGGAGTCTGCAACGATTTTCTGCGGGGGAAGCAGGTTTCCATGGGCTGTGGATGTGGGTTCCTCAGGGGTTTAGTTCATGTTGGCTGGTTCTAGAAGGAGAACCAAGCCTCAACAATAAGCGTAAACATCACAGACTATAAGCCCCACCTTCTAATGGTGATTAGTAGGGAAGAAGAGAATATAATCCCTCTATAATCCCTACATAATACAGTCCCCCATTGAGCAAGGAAGAGCGGAATATAATCCCTATCTTCAAATACAATCGCTTATTCCCTACATACCCCCAGTAAGCAATTAGACCTTTGCTTCCAAGCTGCCCCGCGGTACTTCCGCACAAGCGGTCGTAGGCTGAGGAGGTAGAACCGCTACCTGGGAATCCGTAGGGCCCAGGGATCCGATTATCCCCCCAGATACAAATATCCAGAATCAAATGGAAAAATGGAAGCTAGCGTTATACAGGGGTGTATAGGGATAATTAAAGGCTTAAGAGATCCAAGTATACAAAGAATATCTACATTGGGCCCTGAAACCTGCAAATGTTGCCTACATTGGGCTATTGGGATCCCTAGGGAATGTCGCTTTCAAGCCAAGGGCCTAAGATGGACTTCGCATATTCACAAAAATAACGTGCTGGAGGTTCAGTCTGCTGAAGCTTGGGGTGCTGCTCATACAGAAGTTCCGCTAAGTCTTAAGATGATGTCATCTTTTATATAGGGGTAGTATTGGGATAATGGAAAATAAAAAGGAAACTACTATATTATAGTAGGGTGTATATTAGGGTTATAGAGGGATAATGGAAAATAAAATGGAAACTACTATTTAGGGTTTAGGGACTTCAAGGTGTCAACTGCCCAGCAGCGTGATGGGCCAGTCTCAGGTGTAAGCTTGACTCGGGCGTGCTCACTCGCTATTTTGGGTAGACTGAACCCTCCATGTGGGCACGTGCAAAGTAAGTGGCTAAAGGTGGCACAGAGCCGCCTTGGGATGCCATCTGCAGCCATCCTAAAACTCAGAATTTTCAGCTGACGACATGTTTGTAGTGTTTGTAGGACTGATTACTTCCTTAGCGCAACCACCAAACAACGTGAAGCATTGCGCAGTTGCCTTGAAACCATGCAGGACTGGACCAAAAAGATCTCAAGAGAAAGTAGCAGATCTCATAATCCAAGGCGGGCCCTCAGACACTATGCTTCTTGTAGGCTCTGGGCAGTGCTTCTTGATGAACTCCGTGATGTCCCCATCGAACTCCTGAGGCAATTCGGCAAACTGTCATGCCCCCGCAAGGAGTGCGGATACTAAACCTGGAAATTCGGAGTTCGCACATTCATGTGCTTGACAATACGCACGTCAAATTGAGCACGCAGATCAATACATGCCCAAAATGTCGTAAGCCCAACCCTAAAGAATCGATGCAAGTTATCATCACTGATGGTGGGTCCTATATCCTTGTACCAGCTACGTCTCCACCTTGCCTGCTACAAGTACAGAGCCCTGAACATACTGTCTTCAATGGCTGCAGTTGCTGTTGCTAAACCCAACCCCAGCCCTAAACCCTCAACCCTAACCCTAAATCCTAAACCCTAAACCGTGGCCTCGAGGATGCGCGAGACGTTTTTGGCTCTGGGCACAAAGGCGGCAAAACCCTCCTGGATCCGGGGTTCACTTAGGGTTTAGGGTTTGGGGACCCAAGCTTTTTAGGTCAATCCCGTTTTGGTGGTCTTCACGGTTCTATTCTATCAGTGGAATTAAGCAGTACGAGATCAACTGCTTCGAATGCCATCTGCTGGCGCGTGGTGTTGAGCTTACCTCTGCACAGCCCCAGAGATCCAATAGCCAAGTTGGTGAGTTCTTTTGAACTTTCAACGGGATTCTTCCAAGGTTGGAACTATGAGCCCCCGGTTCTCTTAAGGTTCTTGGTTCATGCATTATAAATATACCTGTTATATACCCTAGGACCTTAGAATTTGTGGGGTCACCCTTGTTGCATCGGCGGGGTCCCGGACAGCCATCCCATTAGTTTCGGTTGACCGCAGCAGGCATCTCGAATGCGAGCGCGTCATGACCAATGCACCGGCCTGAATACTTTGCGACGCTAGGCAGTATGAGCTCAGGGTCTCTCAAGATGTGGGTGTTATCGAGGACTCTGAGAGCTTGTTGGCATTGCCAGGTTCCCTATAAGATTCCAGCGAGAGCTTTTTGAGCAACTTCCAAACCTCACTTTTTGAGTTCTTTTTTGGTGCCGGACATCCCAGCTCCTTTAATTAAGCTACCAACGCCCGTTTGAGTACAGTTGGCATGAAGGAAGGGCAGGCACTTTGAGGGGTTGTGAAGCTGGTCCTTTGGAGAGAGCGCCAGGACCTCGTAAGGCATGAGACTCACCTGGACGTCACAGTTTCTTGTCTTGAGGATTAAAAAGAGGATAAGGACTTTGCGTTTCTTGCGGATCCGGATCCAAGAATGGGAGGCGCCTTCTTGGGAACTGCAGAAATTCCCATGTAAAGAGCCTGCTTGAAAGGACACTTGTCTTTGTATGACCCCTTTTGGGGTCCCATATTTCTTTGGAAGGAGGCCTGGCAACTGAAAACAAAGACAACCTGTTACTCATTTCAACAGGTGCATTTCTGAAAAATGAAAGTTTGTGAGGACCCAAAGGGAAGACATTGGGCAGAGGCATTACCGGGGTCCTCTGATTCAAGTGTATGGGGATTCCGTTGACAAATTCTTCCATGGAACAGGAACGCAAGAGAAGAGATCACCACGGTCCTTCAACCTGAAGCTACAAACCTTAAGCTCTACTGGCTTGCTGTTCCGCGAACGTAGATTCAGTTCCTATAATATGGACGTGCAGTAAGTGATAGGCTTCCCCCAAAGGCATAAGTGAATTTGGTAATTTAGGGTCACCCCAATATAGATCCCAATATATTCGAAATTTATCATGGGGACCCCCAAGATGGTAACCCTAATTTGGGGAAACCCTATAACCCCTATAAACCACTACATAGTCCCAGTTTCCATTTCACTTTCCATTTTCTTTTCCATAATATCCCTA